TGCCCCTGCAATTCTCGCAGTAAGACCCTTCCGAATCATGGTATGAAGCACTGGTGGAGCTACTTTGTTCAACAGGGCATTTGTGTTTCAATTTAATTTGCAGCACCAGCATTAAGCATTTTTCTTTGTTAACTGTAAACATTGCATTCCTGCACTTCTCCAAGAGTTGGCCCTTGGTCAACTCTGTCACTATTTTCCTTACAGTATGATTCTCTATTGTTCCACCTCTGCTTGGAGACAATAGCTTTGCCCGTGAGGTCACTGTAATTTCATTAGTGATCACAGGGACAAATGAAATGAGCGTTCTTCTCCCTTGTAAAGCTGATCAGATCATAATTACACACGATTTTTAGCTTACTTAGTTATATTTATTATGTCATGGCTGTGACACTTTAGGCAGAGTTGAGAGTTAGCAAAACATAAGGAGAATCATAAACTCTTTAAAAGTCTCTTGTATGGCCGGTTAAATATGGGACTTCCTGCTACAAGAATATGTTTACTTCTTTCAGTGAACAACCAAGTCTGTGTACGCTCTAAAATCTAGGTAAAGGGTGACCTCCTTACTTACAAATAAAAGGAAAGAATCCAAGTATAAAATCTGTGTATGAGTAATGCAGCAAAAATTAGGCTCAGGGGGTTATTTTTGAAGATATTTCCTGTGGAATGAACTGTAACTCAGCTGTACAGATACTGTGAAACTTGGAAAATTCCTTAAAGATCTAATGAACTTCAGCTCACTCAGGGAGATTCTAGACTCTAGAAACAGTACAGAGAAGAGCAACAAAGATGATTAGGGGGCTGGAGGGTAAAATATATAAAGAACGCTACAATTGGGTATGTTTAGTTTAATGAAAAGAAGGACTAGGTTGACATGATAACAGGGTTCCAATATCTAAAGGGCTCCCACAAAAAAGAGGGTTCTCCAATTCGCCTGAAGGCAGGACAAGAAGCAATGGATGGAAACTAATCAAGGAGAGAAGCAACTAAGGAGAAATTTCCTGACAGAACAATTAATCAGTGGAATGACTTTCCTCCAGAAGTTGTGAGTGCTCCAATACTGGAGGTTTTTAAGAAAAGTCTGAACAACCATTTGTCGGAAATGGTGTAGGGTTTCCTGCCTGAGCAGGGGATTGGACTAGAAAATCTCCAAGGTCCCTTTCAATAATGTAACCAGCTGATTGTGCAGTTTTCCTGCACAATAGTTGTAATTATCAATAGATACTCTAATTGTGATCCTATTTAAGTCTATTTTTGCACCCATTTTTTCCCTCCCTTCCTTAGCTTGGGGGTGAATACAGCAGGTGAGGACATGCTGTTCATGCGAAAGGTGTCCAGTTCAGTACCGACCTAAATTTACGGCCACAATTGGGAACTAGAATTTCTGTTGGGGTAGGACAGTTTTAAGTAATGCAGATACTGCAGTTGTTAAGTGAATCACGCAGTTGTTAAGCAAATCTGGCTTCCCCCATTGACTTTGCTTGTCGAAAGCCAGCTAGGAAAGGTTGCAAATGGTACATGATCCCAGGGCACTGCAACTGTTGTAAATATATGCTGGTTGCCAAGCACCCAAATTTTGATCACGTGACTGTGGGGAAGTTGAGTGAAGGACTGAGTGAAGGGCTCCCTGTAGAACAGAGGTGGGGAACTATGGCCCCTTTAATGATTTGTGGCTCAGGAATTCTGGGAGTTGAAGTCCACAAGTCATAAAAGGGCATCATTGTCCACCACCCCATCCACCCCCTCCCCGCTGTATAAGGTAATTTTCCAACTGGAGATTGGGACATCACACTAATTAGCAAAAAAATAAAAATAAAAATGTTCCTGCAAATAGAGACATAGAAAGGAGCTCTTTCAATAAAATATCCATCTAAACTTGGAGATTGGGACGTCACACTAATTAGCAAAAAAATAAAAAAATAAAAATGTTCCTGCAAATAGAGACATGGAAAGGAGCTCTTTCAATAAAATATCCATCTAAAGCATTTATCCTTTTAGTAGATAAATATGTCTGCTGGAAAAATATAAATGTAAGAGGACTCTCTAGCTTAGACCTGACTTAGTTTCCCAAGTCAGATCTTTAACAAGATGTTACTTCAGATTCCACACTGAAATCTTAATATATCACTCTGCTTTGTTCTCTCAGCCTGGGTACACTCCTTCTGGAGTGAACACAAAGCACTCTGCTTTAGAAAACTACAGGGGCACAGTGACCTTGCAGGCAGAATCGTGGTATTCTGTCAAGAAATAACAAATTGCTCCAAATTTTTCCACCTGTTGGAAAGATTATGCACATTTAGTGGTAGAAGTTTGTTTAGGATGAATTGTCTGAGGCAGTTTATTTTCACTTCCCTTTCTTCCTGATGGAAATGGGCGGAGAGCTGAAGGGGAGAAGGGATAAATTCAGAATGAATTCTTTTGCAAGACTGTTATAAATCTCCTTCCTCCATTTTTTCCATCGCTGTTAAAGAAACCAACATATACCAAATTCAGAATTTTCTAACAGTGAGGGCAATCAACCAGTGGAATGGCTTGCCTCCGGAAGTTATGGGTGTTCCATCACTGGAGGTTTTTAAGAAGAGATTGGACAGCCATTTGTCTGAAATGGTATAGGGTCTCCTGCTTGAGCAGGGGGTTGGACTAGAAGACCTCCGAGGTCCCTTCCAAATCCATTATTCTGTTTTATATATCATCCCTCTCATTTCTGAGGATATTTCTACTTTGCATGTTTCAGAAGAAACTTTGAGAGAGTAACTCTGTAATATGAAAGGGCTAATATTCCTTTTTAATCATTCTCATTGTGGGTATTAATTTGATTTCTGCCCTGCAATTTTTCTAGAGCCATGAAAATGGCAGCTGAGTTTGCCATATGTCCTTCCAGCTTAGTTGCAGAGAGCTCTCATCAGCTTGAGAGAGAAAGCTTTTTCCATCCAACAATAAAATCAGCTTTGGGGGCCATTTTTTTCCTCAGCAGAACTCACTGGTATATTAATTCATAGTCATACCTTAAAGCTTGATAGTAAGGTGTGTTCACCTTGGTTAGCCAAAGAGTGAGAAGCACTAAAAGAAGTTCAGGGTTGGTTGGTTGATATTAATCAGGACTACATGAGTGTTTCTACTGGTTGCCTGGGCCTAAATTTAAGCATTAGCAATTAAAAGGGTTGTTTGGTGGACCAGTGTAATGGGAAGAAGGAATAATCTTAAGGATTAAAAAACAGGAGGAAAAATCACAATCAAGGCAACAGGCAGATGAATGAAATCTGAGTCCTGGGCAGAAATGTAATTTGAGGAAGTATCTCAGTCATGACTCTCCTTAGGTCTAGCCAAATTCTGTTACTGCAACTTTATACTAAAAGTATTCATAGCTTTGATTTTGGTAATAATAAAGGTATTAGTATTCATAACTTTGGTTTCCTAGTCTGATTTCAACAGTCATCCAGAAATCAAGATGTCTCTTTAGTGACAGAATGAAATGCAGAAGAGTATCTGGGTTAACTGATTTGCATCCCTCCCTTCTGATAAGGTTAAAAATATTTATGGGTACATATCCATAGATCATTATTCCAATTTCTTTTACATTATTTCATGTGCCACTTGAATCTAACATCATTGTGGTTTTTTTCTCCTTAACTTTAGACTAGTCCAGCACAATTTCTCCAGAAATAGATGCCATTCTTTGCTTTGGAGTTTATTCTTTGGAAGATTTGTTAAGATTGCAATCTTTAAAGATTCAGAATCCTAGCTTAACTGCACATTGCTGCTAACCAAGAGATGTGGAGACTGACCAGCCATCTAACCTAAGTCTCATCGCAACTATCTGGTTATTTGTTTAATTCCATTCCATTTCATTGAATTCCACTTCCTATGGCCACTGATCTCACCATGGCTAATGGCCACTAAAAAGCACAACCAACACCACAGATAAAGTACATAAATGGCCATCAAAGTAAACTTAAAGTACAGGCCAACAGTTATTTTGTACCCAACAGTTTAAATAGTGCTCATTATATTCCCCATTCAATGGGAAGTTTTGATACTGCCTGTGGGGTCTTCTACTCCAACTGCTTAATATTTTAATATTTTTCCCTAGTTGCTATCTTATGCCAGCAAGCAAAATCATCCATTTCCTAAAACAACTTCCTTCATTCCTTTCTCTCTCATTGCTTCAGAGTTGTAAGACCTGTTTCATGGATAAATCTGTTGCTGTTTGGGAACGTATATGTAATTTTCATTTCCAGAAAAGAAAATTATGGATATTTACTACATGTGTGATGGGGCTGCACAAATGTTCTCCAAGGGCTGAGACCCCATGGTCCTCAAATGTTGCTGAGTTTTAATTTCCAGCATCTGATACGGTTGTTCATGTTGACTATGGCTGTTGGCCTTGGTTGCTGTTCCATGCTTTCAGTCTGTGAACAGAATTAGTCTAGAATAGCTCCTGCAATTGGGGTGCTTGCCAGATGTCTGGTCTTTAATTTCCAAAAATCTCAGCAATAGCCAGTTGAGGAACTTCTGATGGCAGCGGACATCAACAATTATGGCCTAGACAAAATAAAAATGCTCTTTGGAGTGGCCAATGATAGATTCAACCTTCCTAGTTCTACTGACAATAATAGAATATTAAATGCTCAAGAGATAAGCAACCGTTATTAGTCAAGTTCATCCACAATGCTGTTCCTGCAGAGTCTCATGAAGATCGCAGCACCATCCTTTTCTAATCATTGCTGTTTGCACCAGGTAAGTTTCAAATAGAGAGAAGGAGATTGCTGTGGTTTCATAGATAGGTTGAGACAAAGAGCAAACTATTTATGAGATAAACACAGGAGGTATCCTGGCTTGGTTTATTATTAACCCAGAACTTAGGGCATTTGGTCCACTTTTAAAGTGCATTGTGATGATGTAAATACCTTGCTTATTGAATTAAATGGCACATTCTATAGATCGCAACTTTTTATTTGCTTTCTGTTTATGTTTCTGCTAATCCCTGTATACTTGGATTACAGGTCGAAAGTTTAAGAAGTTTAATAAGGTCAAAATGCTAAGAGCTTTAGATGTTGTCGCACTCCAACAGCCAGCAGCCCTTCCAAATGAAAGCCAAACGTTGGTACAGAGGCTTTCATTTTCACCAAGTCAAGACATTCAATTTATCCCTCCACTGATCACTGTCTTACAAAGCATTGAGCCAGAGGTTGTCTACGCAGGTTATGATAACACAAAACCAGAAACTCCAAGTGCTTTGTTGACCAGCCTCAATTACCTATGTGAGAGGCAGCTCCTCTGTGTAGTCAAGTGGTCCAAGTCATTACCAGGTAAGAAGGATCTTTTGATGTTGGAAATTGTGTCACCCAATTCCATTGTTTTCAGATCTCACCAAAAGCACCGTGTGCAGTTCTGAGCAATGTTGTTTATGAAGAATGCTGACAAGTCATTGGATGCCATAATAAATTGTTCTTTTACAAAAAAATAAAAAGTTATATATATATGTGCGGGTCTTGGCGTATTCGGGTCTTTTCCCGTGTAAGATTGAGAGTATCTTGGCGACATTTCGACGAGGTCCCACTCGTCATCTTCAGGCTGAGGTCTTCGGCTTCGTGCCTGTGCGAAGTGCCCGTGAAAATCTACGAAAACAAACAAATATATATATATATATATATATATGCAGGTCTTGGCGTATTCGGGTCTTTTCCCGTGTAAGATTGAGAGTATCTTGCCGATGTTTCGACGAGGTCTCACTCATCATCTTCAGGCTGGGGTCTTCGGCTTCATGCCTGTGCGAGCAAAGTGTGATCGGAGCTGCCGTCTCATTTATAGAGAGACGGCAGCTCTGATCACACTTTGCTCGCACAGGCACGAAGCCGAAGACTCCAGCCTGAAGATGACGAGTGAGACCTCGTCGAAACGTCGCCAAGATACTCTCAATCTTACACGGGAAAAGACCCAAATACGCCAAGACCTGCATACCTGGACCCGTGAAAATCTACGAAAACATAGCTTCAAAACAATATCAAGAATTAATTGAAATCTATACAGGTAATCCCCAAGTTACGAATGTCCACAATGCTCATTCGAAGTTATGTGATAAGCGCCCCCTAGTGCTTACGAACAAGTCCCGAAATTAGAAATATTGCAGCACCACAGCAGTCATTTGCCCTTATGAGTGACTGCAGAGGCTCTGCAACATTCACCCTAGTTATTCCCTCCCTCACCACCCCCACCCTGGGTCTCCCCAGGCCTTCAATACTCACCCTGCGAAGATCAAGATCCTTCACTTTCTTGGCTGCTTCAGACCTTGGGTGTGTTCGCAGAGAATGGAGGCCTAAAGTAACGTAAGATGGGGCAAGATCTGATGCTACTGATCTTACATGACCTCATGGTACTTTAGGCCTCTGTTCTTTGCAACAGAGAACAGAACCGAAGTCAGGGGACACTTCCACGTGCCTCTGGAGGCTGGATCAGGATGCCGGAGGCCTTTTCCAGGCTGTTGCTGCCCGGATCTAAGACTGGGGGATGCTTCTGTGGCCCTTTGGTGGTCCAACGTGAGCACCGGAGGCCTTTTCCAGGCCGCTGCCATCCATCTGAGGCTGGGGGATAGAAACTAATCAAGGAGAGAAGCAACCTGGAATTAAGGAGAAACTTCCTAACAGTGAGAACAATTAACCAGTGGAACAGTTTGTCTTCAGAAGTTATGGGTGCTCCATCACTGAAGGTTTTAAAGAAGAGACTGGACAGCTACTTGTCTGAAATGATATAGGGTTTCCTGCTTGAGCAGTGGGCTGGACTAGAAGACCTCCAAGGTTCCTTCCAGCTCTATTCTGTTCAAAGTATCCCAAGGAAGCACAGCTGTTGATCTAGTAGTTGAGATATTGGTCCAGGAATGAGAAAACTCAAATTCTAGTCCACTTTTGCAGCCCAACTTACCACACAGCATTACTGTTTGAAAAAAAATAGGAAAGCGGAGCACTTTATATGCCATCTTGAGCTCCTGGATGAAGTGGGAAATATAAATCTAATACACAATGTTAAATAATAGTATGTCACAGCTGAAGAATATCGTTTGGGAAAGGTTACTTCGGAATGGACACTACTAGGGTTTAGATTATAAGAAAAGGTTTTTCTGCATTTTTAGTGGCATAGGCTATCCAGCTTATGGGACAGCATGATGGCTCAGCAGTTAAAACACTGGGCTTGTTGACTGGAAAGCCAGCAGACCAAATTTGAGACTGAGCACCACGCAATGGTATGAGCTCCTGTCCTCGCCCCAGCTCCTGCCAGCCTAGTAGTTCGAAACCATGCAAATGCGAGTAGATAAATAGACACCACTTTGGTGGGAAGGTAACAGTGCTCCATGATGTCATGCTGGCCACATATCTAAGGACAGTGCTGGCCTTGAAATGGAGATGAGCATCGCCCCCTATAGACGGCAACAAATAGCGGAATAAAATCCGCAGGGATTCCTTTTACCTAAGCTATCCAGCAACAGTCCAGTGTAAGGAGATGGATGTTCCAGGATTTTGAGCCGGAATAGGGATGTTACAGCTGGTTGTTGCAGTTGCTGATCTTGGGGTTCCATCTGATTGCTTTTCTCATATTGAATCTTTCTATACCTTGTCTGGTCTTTTATCTGTTTTCAGTATTAAGCCTGAAGCAGGAACACTGACAGATTCCAGTGATTATGACATATTACCTTTTGATAACAAGTTTTAAAAGTAGTATTTAATAGGATCCCACAAAACAGGGCTGATGGCGGTAAATACATTCTCTGGATAACATCAGCTCTTTCTAAACTGCCTAAGTTGGATAAGAATTCCCATTGCCAGCACTCACTGTGGCTAGCTGACACGATGGATAAGGATGACAGGAGTTATAGCCAGGGTGATATAAATGTTAAAATGCAGGACCAGTAAACAGAAGCTGGATGGGTTGAATTCAACCATTCTAGTCCATATTTTGGCTTACATGGGACTCTCAGTGATTGGAGCCAAGACAATGTTGCTTTTAAAAACTTAAATGATTTAAAATCTAAACTAGTAAGAGATATCCTTATAAAGTATTGTTATGTTTCAGATGTTTTACTAATAAAACAGTAGGCATATACGTGCTGTTAAGTGGGTGGGTTAGATATTTGGAAATCTATACATTATTCCTGAAAATTATGTGCTTACCAATAAAAGTATAAATGAGTGTGATAAAGGATCATAAACTTATAGGCTAAAGCATATAAGGAAAGGCTGCTGGAATTGGGTATGTCTAGTTTAATGAAGAGAAGGATGAGGGGGGGCATGATAGCAGTGTTCCAATATCTCAGGGGCTGCCACAAAGAAGAGGGAGTCAAGCTATTTCCAAGGCGCCTGAAGGCAGGACAAGAAGCAACGGATGGAAACTAATCAAGGAGAGAAGCAACTCAGAACTAAGGAGAAACTTCCTGACAGTTAGAACAATTAACCAGTGGAACAACCTGCCTCCAGAAGCGGTGAATGCTCCAACACTGGAAGTTTTTAAGAAGAAACTGGACAGCCATTTGTCTGAAATGGTATAGAGTTTCCTGCCTGAGCAGGGGGTTGGACTAGATGACCTCCAAGGTCCCTTCCAACTTTATTATTATTATTATTATTATTATTATTATTATTATTATTATTATTATTATTATTATTATTATTATTATTATTATTATTATTATTATATATGGCTATTTGACTTTGATATAAAACCTATTTTCCTTCATTTGTAACCATATTTAGTTCATCTTGGCTTCTTTTCAGATTGTTGCTCTGAATAAGTAAAGAATTGAAGGATGAAATTTGTGTTAAATTTGTGTACTTGTTTAAAATTTTCCCAAAATAGTTAAGCCATACATTAAATGTTTGAAGATGAGGCTTTGAAGAGATGTCATTGCTAACTGAAGTAGAATTTTGCTTGCCTTTTCATCTTTGCAAACACTAAACATGAATCTGAATGACTAGAGGAGACATCTTATGTAGGAGTTGGGGTGACTAAAAGATACCGTTTTTAATTTTACAATAATTATACGATAACTTGTTTCCGGGTGATTCCTGGATTTAGTGTCACTCTAAGATGCACCCTATTTACTGTTTCTGTATGAATTCTAAGCCAGGAGAAAAAGGAGATTATAGTGTGGTCCTCTTATTTCCTAAGTATGTGCAACTCCTTCTGTGGTAACAATACAACTTTGGCCATTTTAAGGTATGTAAACTTCAACTCCCAGAAGTCTTCAACTTTCCCAGCATCCTGGCTAAGGAATTTTGGGAGTTGAAGACCACACATCTTAAAGCTGACAACACTGAAACACTGGCCTAGTCTAAGCTAAGTGAGGGGAACCTGCTTGTCATACATGATAGTAAGCCAAAAATGTGACAAAATTTCATTACATATTCAGCATCCCTCTTCCTTTTTTTCTTTCTAGGATTTCGGAGCTTGCATATTGATGACCAGATAACTCTTATCCAGTATTCATGGATGAGTCTAATGGTCTTTGCGCTGGGATGGAGATCATATAAACATGTCAGTGGTCAAATGCTGTACTTTGCTCCTGATCTAATATTAAATGAGTAAGTATGATTTATGGTGTTGTACATGTTCATTTTTTCAATTAATAGCCTGTTTTTGTATTTATAAAGCTTTAAGGGGGGGGCAACAGTTCAAAATAAAAGATAAACAATGGTATTCCAATAAAAACAATCAAAGTCCCTATTAATCTTAAATTTTTCTCTTGCTTTCCTTATTTATGTATTATTTCTCCCAAATTGTAGCTCTAAATATCTGAAATGGTTTAACAGTACAGCATTGTCATTAAAGCAATTCAGTCTCCAGTTTAATATTAAGAGTGTGTTAGGAATTAGAGAACTATTATCACGACAAGGAATTATTGAGACAGATAAAGCAGTTTTCATTTGTTGAGTTGGTAATTTGATCAATATTTTACGTGATTCCCTAGCAGAAACCAGTTTTAAATTAATGGACTTGAAATTAAGCACATGGCTATGTACGTTTTGGAAGTGACTTTGATTTTGATGCTTTATCATATTAATTATGTAATGCTCCTGTGAGCAGCTTATGTGCAGTGCATTGATCGTTGACTGTCTCAGATCAGGAGAGATTCTGAAGTGGGAATCTGCTTGACTCTAGAAAGAGTGCAGAGAAGAGCAACAAAGATGATTAGGGGTCTGGAGGCTAACACATAGGAAGAATGGTTGCAGAAATTGGGTATGTCTAATTTAATGAAAACAACTAGGGTGACATGATATCAATGTTCCAATATCTAAGGGGTTGCCACAGAGAAGAGGGGGGTCAATCTATTTTCCAAAGTACCTGAAGGCAGGATAAGAAGCAATGGATGGAAACTAATCAAGGAGAGAAACAACCTAGAAATACAGATAAATTTCCTGACACTTATAACAATCAGTGGAATGACTTGCCTCCAGAAGTTGTGGGTGCTCCAACACAGGAAGTTTTGAAAAAGATTGGACAACCATTTGTCTGAAATGGCATAGGGTTTCCTGCTTGAGCAGGGGGTTAGATTAGATCCCTTCCAACTCTGTTATTCTGACTAATAAAAGTATCTTCAAATCATAGAAACCTCTTGGATCTTCAAAATAATGGCTAGATCTGAGAACAGCTCAGATTCTTATAATTAGAAGGCAGTATCACTCAGAAGTAGCATTGTGTCGTAGTCTGGTTGAGATGAATGACCTTAAGCATCCCAGTTTTTTCTTTGTTGGTCCTCTTCTGATGCAGTTCATTACTATATTGCTTCTGGACAAGAATGACAGAATATTATGTATGCAAAGATATACATATGTTAAGTAAGCAGAACTTGTATATAAAAAAACCTACCTCTGATATGTTGGTACTACAGCTTCCCAGCATGTCTATATTATCCACTAGGCACAATGTCAAGTGGCTACAAAATATTTTTTAAAAAAAACAAAACAAAACCAGAAGTATGAAAAGTAACAGTAAAATTAAATTTTGACTAATTGAAAGTTAATATATTTAAATTCCTCTTATTTTATTAGATGTGTACTTATTCTGACTTATTTCCTGCAACTTATTAAAGAATATACAGGTAGTCCTCAATTTATTACTTGAGCAAAATTTTGATCACAAAATCAAAATTTGGGGGAGAGTGCAATGGTCCTAAATGTGAAAAATGTCCATAAGTCACTTTTTTCGGTGCCTTTGTAACTTCGAACAGTCACTCAACAAATGGTTGTAAGTTGAGGACTATCTATGGATCCAGATATCACCTTTATAATTCTAAGCTTCTGGATTATTACTGGAATAGGGACTTACGTATGCAGTGGTGGGATTCAAATATGTGAACAACCGGTTCTCTGTGTGGATGCCGCTTCCGGAAGTCCATTCTTGGCTTGGGCAACAAAAAATTAGCTATCGGTTCTGCCGAAGTGGTGCGAACTAGCTGAATCCCACCACTGTATGTAGATAAACAAGCTTGAGGCCTACAAGAATAGTTAATGCAGCTTCTTCCCCAGGAAAGAAGATGGATTCTCCGGGTTAAAAAATGTTGGTTGAAGACAATCTTCCCAGCTTAGCCTTCTTGTCACTGAATCTTGATTCTGGCTTGCTATAAGAATTATATCCCAAGTAGTACCATATTGCAAAGTGAGGACCTTAAAGAACCCACAGGCTTGATATTTATTTTTTTAGCTTTTGCTTTTCTTTTCTGGGGGATGCGAAGACAGAGGATGAAAGAATCATCGTTCTACTCCCTGTGCCTGTCCATGTGGCAAATTCCACAAGAGTTTGTCAAGCTACAAGTAAGCTGTGAAGAGTTCCTTTGCATGAAAGCCTTGCTCCTCCTGAATACAAGTAAGCCACATCTGCCTTTTTTTTCCCCCTTCTTTGAGCAAAATCGTTCTTAAGTTGTACCCGTTTCACTGAACCAGGTGCCTGGATGAAAAGAAGCAGAGTTTTCAATAACATTACACAATCCTGTTGTGGGGCTGGCCTGTTGTGTGCAGAAGGTCTTGTGCAAATTGTCTGCTGATCAAAGCAGAGGGTTGATGGATGAATGGATGCATGCATGCATGCATGCATTTCCAGTTTTATGATCCACCCAGAGCAAAAGGTTTCAGGCAGGTTAAAAAAAGTGCAAATCTATTAAAAAACACAAAGAAGTGCTGTGCGGTCTATTTGCCCCTAATCCTCTGTTGCTGGTGAGGTGGGGTGGACTTCTTCAGATGTCCACATGGATTAAACCATTGCAAGGTGGTATCTGATAGATCCAATGCTCTGCCGCTGTTGGACTCATGATACCAGCACTTTGAATAAGGTATGATACTTAAATAAGGGCTGAGAAGGCACTTGAAAAAATATAGGTAGCTCCTGTCTGCAACTCTTTTAAGAAGCTGCGTCTTTTCTTGGAATGACACAACTGTCCTCTTCAGCTACAGCAGAGTCCTGGAAAAGACATGGCTACTTTGAAGACTTGTAGGCTTTAAAGATTTTGTGTGTTCCAAAGGACTCTTTTTGCATTTGAATCCAAAGGGCTGCACAGCATTGTGCAAATAAGGCCATAGTGTCCATCGCTCTTGGAAAGTGGTCTTGTTAATTTTGCAGCGCTTTCAATCTGCTGCATGGAGATATGATTAAGGATTTAATTGCTCTTTATCTCTAATGAAATGGAAAAGCCATGATCTCAGGCTCCGGGGAATCAGGAGGAGGAGACTTCTCCTCTTGGGGGGGTAGATAGTCTACATCAGGGGTAGTCAACCTTGGCTCTTTTATGACTCGTGGACTTCAACTCCCAGAATTCTGGCTCAGGAATTCTGGGAGTTGAAGTCCACGAGTCATAAAAGAGCCAAGGTTGACTACCCCTGGTCTACATTTTCTTCTCATATGTGTCATCATTTTTGGATCACAATAGAGGGCTGAGGTAATGGGGATCATGTTGTGAAAATGTAACAACAACAATAACAACAACAATAATGTGACTGGGTATAAGGTATCTTCAATATAAATATAAAGGTTATATAAATGTTTTAAATAAATAAACTCTTAAGCAGAACACAAACAAAAACAACCAAAAATTGGTGATTCCCCCCCCCCCCAATGTAATAACCTATTGCTCCAAGAACGGCTGCAGGACTTGTGTCTGGCTAGTCTAAAGAAAAGAAGAAAGAGGGGAGACATGATAGCAGTGTTCCAGTATTTGAGGGGCTGCTACAAAGAAGAGGGGGTCACGTTATTCTCCAAAGCACCAGAGGGCAGGATGAGAAACAATAGTTGGAAACTGATCAAAGAGAGAAGCAACCTGGAATTAAGGAGAAACTTCCTGACAGTGAGGACAATTAATCAGTGGAACAGCTTACCCCCAGAAATCGTGGGCGCTCCACCGCTGGAGGTTTTTCAGAAGAGACTGGACAGTCACTTATCTGAGATGGTATAGGTTCTCCTGCTTGAGCAGGGGGCTGGACTTGAAGACCTCCAAGGTCCCTTCCAGCTCTATTCTATTCTGTTCTGTTCCGTTCCGTTCCGTTCCATTCCATTCCAAAGTAAGGGAAAATTCACAGTAAATTATTGATGAGAGAAAAGACAATGAATTGCAGACTGGGAATCTGAAATCTTCTAAAAATAGGCTCCATGTTAAATTTATGTCTTGGTTTAATAAATCAGCAATCTGAAAAACAACAACTAGAGATCTGGATTGTGCCCTTGTCCATTTTCGGACTTAGCTTATCCAGCAAATGTTTCCTGTTTTCCTACCTGTTTTCCTTATTTCCAAAGACTTTGGAAAGTTGCGCTGTCTACACAACGCTTTGTTCCAAAGACAGCGCAGCTTTTCAAAGACAGTGCAGTGTTCAGAAAACTATACTCTCTTTCCAAAGGCGTTCTGAAGACAGTGTAGCTTTATGACGATAGTGCTTTAAAAACAAGGGGAAAAAAGTGGGAAACTGTCACTGGAGAAACTGGATCCAAAAAGGAGACAGCAAAATGTGAAAGGTCCCTGCAGGGAACTGGGAGAGAAGACAGCTGGGTGAAGAAATGCTTTCTGGTGCATGCTAGTCCAGACTGGAGAGCAAAGGAATGCTTGCTGAAGCTTGCTGGGCTGGAGAGCACATGGGATTGGGGTGAGAAGGAAGCTGGGGCTTGCTGGGATGGGCTGGGGCAGCTGAGGCTTCCTGGGGCATGACAAACAGCCCCAGACCTGCACATTTTGAGGTTGCTTGCTATCCTGCAAGGCAGGGTACAAGACAGCCAAAAGCGATTGGGGAAGGAGAATAGACTGGAGGGGTGGGGAGTTGAAGGCAGTCTCTTATCTTACTCAGGCTTAGGGCTGGGAAGGACCAAGCTCAGAATGGCTTGAATTGTGGTGAGTGTTCACTTATCATCCACAATGGAGAATGCCGGGATTGCTTCATAAATTGGTGTGGTCATGTGACATCTCATTTTACAATTACTCTGACTTATGATGACAATATCGATCCCAATTTATAGTCGTAAGTCAAGGACCACTTGCAAGGCACTTACTTGAGATTTGCATTTTTACATTGCAAGTAATGCCGCGGGGGGGGGGGGACAGCCTGCGCTGTAGTGACAATTCTCTCTTGTCATGTCTGAGTGAGTTGGCCCTTGAGTAATCAGAGACAAGCTCAAATTGATTAATACTTGGTTCAACTAGTTCTTCTGTCATTCATTCACATACCTTAATTGTGATCTTAACTGTGGTAAAATATAATAGCAATAAAAAGATTGTCTCTGTTTTATGACTACTAGGAATCAGTACAGGAATTTGATTCAAGCATTAAAGTCTCAAAACTTGGCTAATGAAGAATACATGTTTCAAAATGGTCGAGTCTAAATGCATTTGAGACAACAGTGTATTTCTATTGCTTGAAATTTGAGCTTCAGAGGTAAAAATATCCCTTTCTTCCCCCCAAAACACAGTTCCTTTGGAAGGACTCAGAAGCCAAAATCAGTTTGATGATATGAGATCCAGTTACATCAGAGAGCTGGTCAAAGCAATTGGGCTGCGACAGAAAGGGGTGGTAGCCAGTTCTCAACGTTTCTACCAGCTCACAAAGCTTATGGACTCCATGCACGATGTAAGTTTTATTTTATAATTATATTATAATGATGTAATATAATTTTGTACTATCTCGGGAACTGTGATATTACTCTTGTTTTGTGCCAGCTGGTCTGGTACTGTAGAGAACGGAGAAGTAAATGAATCTCTTCCCTCTATTTATTTTTTGTTTTGCTTTTATCAATTGGAAAAAAAAACAATGAAAAGGAAAAAAAAGGTAAACAATTGCTTGGAGTTACAAAGAAAATAAAAATAAGAATATGGAAAATACTAGAAAAAGAAACAAAACTGTGCAGGGCATATATTCACAAAGATGTACACATAGAAGAAAATTCTACATCAGCACAATAATAATATTTCATTATAATCATTCATAGTTAAATTTCAGCATCCCTTTTCTAAGTTATTCTCTTGATCTGTCAATTGTAAATCCGTTTTCAATCCTATCTCTATCTTGTCAGATAAAATTTGTTCTACATCTGCCATTTCTTTAAGAGCATCTTTTGAACTTAGTCTATCCATAGAAGCAGACTCCATTACTGACATTGTTGGTATTGTGACTATTATTTTCTGATTACATTCTTTAAAACTTTTTCAGTATTTTTACTGTTATAGTATTCTGCAACATTTTACAGGCTTGTAAATCTTTTATTTACTGTAAACTTTAGTCGCCTCTAACGTCCAATTTTTGAAAGTAATGGAATTGCTTATTTCTGTTATCTTTTGTAAAAACCAAAACAGGATCTATGTCCCACAAGAAAGTGTTCTTTATAATTAATTCCAAAATCTCATTGTAAAAGTTTTGACGTTCCAATTTTATGCAGACTCTTAGTTCATTTATAACTTTCTAAGATCAAAATCTTATTTAGCTTTTTGCTGTTTATTTCAGATGTTTTAAATTCTTAAGTTTATGATTAAAATTTTCTTTCATTCAGGACTGAAAGACTCACCCAGCATTTTCAAATTTTCAAACCAAAGGTCCTAGTAGTTTAGAATTAGCTAATAAGCAATTAGCTTTTCCAAAAGTGATTAGAAAGTGAGATTTGGGAACTTAGTGTCCTTTAAAAGTCTCTGTCACAGCTGCAAGCAAGATTGTTGCATCTGAAATCTCCTACTGCTCAAACCCACAGAAAACCATTGTCCTGCAGTTTCCTGCAAGGAGCAGCTATCTGGAAAACATGTGGGCAATATCATATCCTCTTTTATCTGGAGAGATTTCAAGGAACTTCTTTACTCACTAGTTCCTTGGTCTAAGTAGAGTCATCAGCTCTCCTTTCACAGAGCCATCTTTAGTTCACCATACCTCCCCCTAGAAACCTCAATCTATTGAAGCTTTTGGATGTCCATGTGGGCAGGCCCATGTGGACCACATTGCAATAATCCAATCTGAAGGTAGTTAAGGTGTGAGCGACTATGAACAGGACACCGTGGTCCTGGAACAGATGCAATTGGTGCACAAGATGAAATGTTGTGAAGGACTTCCCAACCACAGCTGTTCTTCTAAGAGAAGCTGCAAGGCTGTGTACTTTTGCTCGAGTGCAACATTTTTCAGCCTCAGCGATTTTAAAATATGTGGACTTCAACTTCCAGAAGTTCCTAGCCAGTGTGCCGAAGGTTGAAAATTCTGTTATGGAGAAGACTGTACAATCTGAGACCAGACTCATTCCCCTAATTCTCTTCAGATTGCAGGGTTTAATGTGACAGAATTAGGGAAATCGACAATGTATGCAAAGTAACCAAGCTAGCTTGGACTGAATGTTTCTAAAAGGTAAAGAATATCCCTTGAGTTAAACTCAACACCTGGTGATCACCTGGATACCTCATGCAATTTTCCTAGTAGCAATGCAAAAATAATTCACAATGGCATTCTTTTGTGAGTGTACACTCAATTTCTCAATTTAGCCCACAGCTCTGAGAATTCCTGGAAGTCTGTCGTCCAAGGATTAATTAGACTGTTTATTTTTTTTCCTGATCACTCAAGCTAGAGCAATTTGTAATCATTTCAGCTGGACTTAATTACTTGGCATTAATTAATGTTAAATGGAATAATTAACAGAGTATAATATTTAGCTTTTGTACTGGCGTGATTCTATTTCTGGAGCATGCCCTTTGGCATGTCAGTTATAGATCAGCATGGACCTTGACTTGCCCGGATCTTCCCCTTGACAAAAACAAATGTTAGGATTAATAATATTGTATTCATATGTTGTTCTTGCTCCAAATGAAATTGTATACTATGATTTCAGTAAGCCAAAGTGGCTGGTTCTGCTTGCATTCCCATATAATTTAACTATAACTTTTGGGAGGCTTTCTGGATTCATATGGTACACTGAATCAAAAAACAGCCATATGGGTTTAGTTCACACAGATCCCTAAGCCATTGTTTCTCAATCTTGGCAACTTTAAGATGTGTGGACTTTAAATCCCTGAATTCTCCAGCCACCTGGGAATTGAAGTCCACGTATCTTAAAGCTACCAAGTTTAAGAAACGCTTCCCTGAGCTATGCTGTGGTTGGTTAAATTGTGATTCAATGAGTATTACAAGCTTCAATTTGCATCAGCCTTTGGTCAGATAATATCAGACAAGTGAGATTTAAAGCAGAATAGCAAGGATAAATGACACTTGGGTTTGTAACAAGCCATTACAACTTCAAATTGATAATATACATATTGCACAAATGATTTTATTGTGTAATTACCCAGTGGTCAGTTTGGGTTGGTAGACTCAGATCTAACACATTTTTGCTAAGAAATTGCCACCTGCCAATCAGTGATTAAGAGTGTCATGCGGTTTTCACACAACCCTACTAAGTCATCCTTTGCTAAAAAAAATAAACCTTGGTTTACAGATCACAAACATGGTACTAATTTACAGCAAGCAATCCCATTTTGGCTCGGCATCATGCTTACTCAATGTATATGTCAAAACAATAATGTAGGTTAAGGGCACAACTCAGGGACTATTTGACCCAATGTGATATAATTTCCATCTCTTCCCTCTGTCCTCCTCTCCCTCTTATTTTATTTTAATATAGCTTGTGAAGCAACTTCACTTATACTGTCTCAACACATTTCTTCAGTCCCGGACGCTGAGTGTCGAATTCCCAGAGATGATGTCAGAAGTGATAGCTGCCCAGCTTCCAAAGATATTGGCAGGAATGGTGAAACCGCTTCTCTTTCACAAAAAGTGACTTGCTTCTCCATCTGTCTGTCCACAATCCCACCCCACCCCACCCCTATGTCTGTGCTCTCTCTCTCTCTCTTTTGTCATTTGTAGAGATATCATACAGAAATTGTGTATTTTATAAAAATTGTTGGAGATTTTTTGGGATGGATGAGATTTAGCAGTGTTGAGATATCCCCAATTCTGTGTCATTTTGTATGCCTACATTTTATGGATGAGACCTGGATTCGGTCATACTTAGAAGCGACACACTGAATCAGAGAGAGGTCAAACATGGATTGGTAATTTACACAGATTTCATGGACCTCTTTGGTGTCTGGCCAAATCTAGAGCCAGTCCACTTTGCTGCAAACCTTTACTTGCTAAGCCTGTTTTACACATTATGAACTTTTTTTTATTCCTTTGCAAGTATTTTTCGCCCAAGGAATGACCAATACTTGTCATAAGAAGCATTTTATAATAGGCCTGATTAAATTTCTGCTCAGATATCCATTTGAGATAAGTTTTTTTTAAAGAACAGGAAGTCACCTTGTACATTTTCCCTTCATATTATTCATTTTTAAATTGCTATAATGGAGTAAAACTTCAGCTTTTATTACGTTTCTGTCTGTGTGTGGTTATATGTGTATATGTATATAAATATGCCAGAACATGGTAAAATTAAAATAGAAATCATCTTCTAAGCTCGGAATATATTCCGTTTACTTTTTCAATTTGTCTTACTTTTCATCTCCTGAGAAAAGGACATTTGCAAAATGGGATTCTTGTAACTATTGTATTTACAATGTGAGCAAATTATATTTATTGCTTGGAATCAATGATCACACCATAGGTTGGCATAGGCAAAGTGAATTTCTGACTTGGTTCTTCATTTCAGATCTCCAAAACAAAGATCACAATGTAGGAATTTTCCTGCCTTAAAAGTATTTTCTCTGAAAGGGCATTGATTTTGTTGGAGCGAACTGACTAACTTCAGACATTACATTAAGCCATAATGTGAGATGTTCAGTTTTATTTTAACCATTTAGTACATTGTTCAACTTAGCCATAGTTTCCACGTTTTAACATGTTTTGTGAAGCCAGCCAATACTGGCTAATTCAACAAACAATCCATAGATTACTGTAACATATGAACTCAGTGACTGATCCCCCTTATTTGTTTTACACTCTGCTTTTCCTCAAGGAGCTGAAGATGGCTTACCCAGGGATCCTCAACATTTTATCTCCATAACAACACCCTGTAGGGCAGGCGTCTGCAACCGTGACAACTTTAAGACTTATGCTATGCTGGCTGAGGAATTCTGGAAGTCCACAAGTCTTAAAGTTGTCAAGGTTGCAGACCTTCTGTAGAGTATAGGCTGAGAAAGTGTCAGATCTAAAGTCACCCAGTGAATTGTCATGATTCAGCTGGACCTGAATTTGGGTCTCTTCATCTCAATCCAACACTTTAACAAGCATGGGTCACAAACTAATGATGGCAATTTCAATCACATGATCTCAATGTCCATTTTGACTTGATACCCTCATGAATGCAGGTGCATATGAAACCATTTCAGACTCAAATCTCATATAGGGGCAGTAAGGCAGGGATCTTCAAACTTGGCCCTTTTATGACTTGTGGACTTCAATTCCCAGAATTCCTCAGCCAGCGTGCCTGGCTGATGAATTCTAGGAGTTGAAGTCCACACATCATAAAAGGGCCAAGTTTGAAGATCTCTGCAGTAAGGTATGTATGTTTAAGATGGGAGTCTTTAATTTCCAGTAGGAAGTGAAAAGTGAGCCTTGTTTGAATAATCACAAGGTACCAGCAAAATGTGATAATATGTCTTTATTCCAGAGGCAGGTGCTTCTCCTCCAACATTCCCTCTAATTAGGGCACAAAGGCCAACTCATACAACTCTTAATCTTTTTTAAGTGTAAAGTCTCTTTACAATGTGATATTGACAGAGTTATTATTTTTAATCAGTGGAACAACCTGCCTCCAGAAGCGGTGAATGCTCCAACACTGAAAGTTTTTAAGAAGAGATTGGACAGCCATTTGTCTGAAATGGTATAGGGTTTCCTGCCTGAGCAGGAGGTTGGACTAGAAGACCTCCAAGGTGCCTTCCAACTCTGTTAACTCTGTTCTGTTCTATTTTTTTATTTTTACATTATGCATGGATTTTATCTTTCCTCCAAGTAATGTCAGTGTATTACATTTATATCTCACTTCGCTACTAGGAGCTGAAGGCAAGATGCTCAGAAATCTGTACAATAGAGCAAAATCTGTCGTATTATAATTTCCATAATCCCAAAATAGCATGGTTGGCCATCTGCCTAAGGATGAGATATATTCTTTGGTTCTTCTGGACCACATCAGATTGAGAAAGGTGGCAATTGAGTATAAGGGACTTAACAAATTTTAATTGGCAGGAATATTTCACAAGATGGGTGCCATTATCAAAAAGGCACTGCTGCAGAGAGTGCACTGCAGTGCTTCACCATATTGAAATAAAGCCTTTGGGATGCAATTTTAATGAAAGTAATTATTCTGGATTATTCCTGCCATCATCTGTTGGGGTGTTAGGGGTTCCTCCCTCATTTTCTATGCCTGCAAGAGCCAAGAAAGGTAAGGAATGAATAATTCTAGGCAACCTGTCCAAGCCTGATTCGGGATGTCACATCTACAGCTCACCCATTAAACTTCTGATTTTGTTATGAAGTGGTGCTTTCCTCTCTGGCAAAGAGCTGGTTTCTTGTTTTTGCTCAAGGGAGACTTTGCAACTGACCTCAGGGCCAAAACCATCCAAGCTTTTCTCAAAACTCTGTGGAAATACTGTCCAAATAAGCCTGATCTGTCAGCCTTATTATATTTGTGTTGAGCTTTTCTGTTTCATGTCATGATGACCTTGTATCAAGTACAGTGTTGTTTCTAATTTAATTCCTCTTTTCCTCTCCTACTCAGGAGGGGAGAGATGGATATTATTTTAAGAGAGTTTAGAACTTATGCCATTACTTTTATCTGAGCATTTAAAAATATTATTATTATTATAATATTTTTTTTATCCTGCCTTTTCAAATATAATCTACGCGATAACCCTATGAAATGCATTGGACTAAGAGAGAGTGACTAGCCCAAAGTCACCCAACCAGGTTTCATGCTTAAGAGAAGACTAGAACTCACACTGTCCTGGTTCTAGATTAGTACCTTTACCACTACAACAAACTAACTCTTGTTTACTTGAAGCTCTTCTTGGGGTGTTTTGCACTTTGAGTAGCTTGAAAGAACTGGAAACCACTTGGTTATTAAAAAGAAGCATTTCAGAGGACAGAAATTCCCCAAGATTGAAACCTCCGGTGGTGACAGGCTGCATCGCATGGCACTTTTGTTAGCCGCCCATCTTGGAGCGCGTCAAAGCCTGAAGAGACAGCGTTCGTCAGCTGTCTCTCGGCTCGGAACCCCGTCCCTCGGGCGAAGAGGGGGGGGTGAGTTAGTCCGGATAGGGCTTGAGCTTCCTCTCACCCCGGTTTTGCTTTAATCGGGGATGAGACATGCTAGCTCGCCCGGAGTCCGGACGTTCTCCGCGCCCCACGATGCCTTCGCTCCTACTCACTTGGAGCAAAGCCAGATGCAGCTCCCACCTCTGCTATTGAAAGGTATTTGGACTTAAACTATAAGCAGACGGAACTAAACAGGAGGTTTGGAGTTACAGTGGGCTGTTTGTGACTTTGACTCTGAAAATATACTAACATCTTTTTTTCTGTGGAGATTTAAAGTGAGAGAAAATGGCTGCGGAACTGCCGTTTCTCTGGAATACTTTCGTTTTTTACTTTCACTCTTTTTTGGTTACAAACTGGATAGAGATACATTGTTGCTTCTCCGGCTCTGGAAAGTTTTAGCTGCAATGAATTTGTGATGCCTACTGCTTGGTGATATTAATTCTATTACTTTTTTGGATTATTGAAGTGATATTTAAAGAAGTTTGGAGAATGGTTTTAAAATGGCTGCGGAACTGAGGAAAAAAAAGTGAGAAAGAAATTTTTATTTTTTGGTTGCTGAGTAGAATCTACTGAAAATGCTTTTATCTTCAATTACAAATGACTTACAGAATGTTCTGATGCAAGCAGTTAAGCAACATGGTATGGAAGTTAAAGATCTTTGGATTAAGAGATTGGAAGAATCATATGAAACTGTGGCATCTGCTCTCCAGAGGTTTATAGTTCCAGATTGCACAGAGCAACGGGCGGATAAATTATGTGAAGAGGTTGAAGAAGATGTTATGGAAATACCCCAAAATGATATGTTATATTGTGGAGATGTGGAAAATGATAAGTTTGAAAAGCTGGGAAAGGAAGCTGTAACAGATTTGGTTATGGTTCTGGTGTACCTCCCTGTTGAAATTTTGAGAAAAAAAAGCTTATATAGAATTAATTTACGGGTTGTGCATCAGAGAAAACCAGCTGAAGATGTTGCTGTTCGGGTCTTTGGAAGAAGCTTACAGGCTTACTTCTTGCAAAAATTTCGGACACGTTATAAAATGTAAAAGAAGACTTATTGATTTTGAAGGTTGATTTTGTATCAGTGATGTGAAAAAGAATGGAAAACTGGGGGGGAGATGCAAAATGGAGAGCTGGAATAGATTAATAAGGAATGTTTTTGAAGCTTATATTTTTAAAATTTTGGATTAATACTATGGTTTGAATTTGTTATAAGACATTAGATGATTAATGATATATAATTATATTATTTTAAAGGATTTAAATTTTGTATTTAATGGGACTATGATTAAAAGAGAAATGGTAAAGTTTAATTTTTAGATATTTGGATTTGGGGAAGATGGATAATTATATTTTGAGTTTTGGTGTTAAAATATAGTATAATTTTTGTTTTTTTATTATTTGAGTTAAAGTTTTTTTTATAATTGATTGCTTTATGAGGTGTGTTTAACCCTGTAATTAGTTCTGGGAAGTCGGGGAGGGGATGGGATTAAGGGGGAATCATAAATTGATGTATTTAATTGTTATAGGTTTATAATGGAATTGTATTAATAAGAGGA